TTCAAATATTTTTAATTTATAAACTTGTTTTTGAGTTTTATCTATCAACTTGATTTAAAAAAAAAAAAACGGATAGATCAAAAAGATTACACTTTTGAACCGAACCGAATCAGTGTCGATCATTATTAGAAGTCAACGAAAAAGCTCAAGTCAAGTTGAGTTGGCCGAATTCTGTTGGTTTGGCTCGGTTCCCCAACACCGATATTATGAATGTCATGTAATGCAAAAATGATGTCATTTCAGCCGCTTAAATTTTTCGAACAATGTTAAATCCTGATGGACTAAACCAAAAGTTAGATTGCGAAACAACAATAAATAAGTTTAAAAGGAATTATGGTGATTATACTGAAACATTGTGGCATGTTACTATACTAGTATCTGGTTTTGATGCCTCGTTCACCGTTTTCACCATTATATTACAATCATAATATATTTGTTATTGTATATTATAATAGGGTATATAGTCGTTATACCTTTCGTAGAGTGTAGTAACACCAAAAAAAAGCAGCTTCTTTCACTCTTAGTTATTTCTTCGAGAGTGGTTTGTCTAAACTTTTCCCTCCACTTGAAAAAAAGTGACAACTTTTTATTAGTTTGCTTTAAATTTGCTTTATTGATCTTTAGTTCAATCTTGTTGGTTCGTTCGTAAATCCTTTTTAGCTGTCTGTCTGCCTGTCTATCTGTCAACTTGTCTTTATCATCTGTCTTTAGAATCCTGAAAAATATATATTATTATTCTATAAAGTCTAATAGTTGCAATAGTTTTAATTATTCACTATATCATATCTAAATATATCTAAAATGGAAGAAGAAATAAGAAATTTAGAATCTCCGGAAGTTCCGGAAATACCAGAAATACTAGAAATTGGCGAGATAATACAAGAGCCACCACTACAACAAGAACCATCAGTGGACGAAGAGTTAGCAGAACACAGAAAATTATTTCAAGAAGCAATGAGCAAAATGGAAAATTTAGAGCTTTATTCGGTCGGAGGGCCTCTCGGAGAATACTACAAAGCTATAAAATCTTTTGCTTCGTTGATGGCGAAACAAACATCAAAATTACCCGATTTCCCTCCTCTTACATCAAATCAAACCGATCTTAACACGTTAAAAGCCATTGACGAAACATTATTGCGCTTGGATGCTGAAATAATAAGTAGTGCTTCAGATCAAAAACAACTAAAAAAACAGGGTCAGGAACTCTTGAATAATAATAACAATAATAATACATCGTCATTATCATCATCGTCATCAATACCACCACCTTCAATCAATGACATTGAATTATCTTTAGAACAATTGTGGCAATCATTTATTGGGATAGTTAAAGCGAGTAAACTGAAATTACGTGAATTTGATTGGGTTTCTGAATTATCAACTAAAGTCGAAAAAGTCGAATTTGAGGTGCAAAAAGTTGAAGCAATGTTGGAGGGTGTACTTGAATCTCGTAATAAATCACATACTAACAAGAGTAACAATAATGAAGCTACCGTTGCTGATGCTAATTCCTTATCTTTATCGACATCTTTATTAAATGAATGGTATATGAAAATTATTGCAGTCGAAGAATTGGAACATGAAGTTATTGAGAAAGTGCACGAATTCGGTCAACTATATAAGCAGCCAAGATTCCGAGCACCGCCCGATCTATCGAAACGTATTGAGGTATTAATTGAGAATTCTTTACCCTCACTGAAATCAAAAATATCCGATACCAAAGAGATTCTTGCTCATGATCGTCGTATTGGAAGATGGTTTGACGGTTGCAATGAAGCTGATAAATGGATTTCTGATACACTAAATCGAGCCAAACAATTGGAAGTCCCAGATTTCATCAATAAACATGAATGGGAAGAAGAGGAGAATAATCTTGAATCTTTAGTAGAAGCGAGAAGAAAAATGATTGAAAATATTGCCGAAGATGCTAAACAATTCCATCAAGAGAAACTTGAGCATCTCTATCTAAAAGCTAAAGATTTTAAAGAAGGGATTAAAGATCTCAATGATCAAGAAGATCAAACGGTCATACAATTAATGACAAAACAACATAAGACATTAGATCAAAAATATAATAAATTAACAGATTTTATTACATTCCTTTTAGAGCAAACCACCGTCGAAAATTATAGAATCTTACTCAATCATCTGAAATCAATGCAATCAATGCGTACTAATATGCAAAATATTCGTAAACTGCTCATTGAACATAATGATGCTGAGTTAGTTGTCGATGATGTCAATAAGGTTGAACAGGAAATTATTGATTTTCAGCAACAGCTTCCCAAAAATGATAATGAAGATACGGCATTATCAAAAGCTTTGAGACAAAAACACATAAAATTATTAGATACAATCAGAAATATCAAAATTGCATTATCAGAAAATCGACTCCAAATGGCCGCCTATCTAAGTCCGTCGAGTCCAAGTTCCCCAACATCATCTGCATCAGAATTCGATCGTCTATCAATTGATATAAGTAAAAGATTGGACAATTTTCACGCAAGACTCGTATCCCCTCCAACCTACATGATCGATTCGGATTCCGAAAATGAAGAACCTGAACGTGTACATGGTCTAACGTGTAATGACGATCATATCGTAGATTTCACGGAAATTTACGGTTCAATCGAATCGGAATTGCTATCATTCGAACGAAGTCTTTGGGTAGAATTCTGGGTGACATGTGAACGCGCGAAACGCATAAGAGGACAAGAGGCTACCGGGAGAATTAATGAATTGGAAACTACTTTTAATGAAGTTAAAAGACTAATGAGGGAACGCAACAATGATCTTGCTGTTATCAAAAAAGGACGTGAATTTGCTAAAGGAATAGCAAGAATTCGTGATGAGCTCGATGTTGTAAAAGGGAAAATGAGTAGAGGACAAGCTACAACTGATTCATCAATACAAGAACTTGATGAGCACATGGTGGAAGCTAAACGTCTGTTAGAAGAGCTTGATGCTTCGCACAAAGATTTAATATCACCTGATGCA